CTATCTGATGATTACGATCAATGCAAATCTCAAAATTGTTTGCGGATTGTTTTTTCCTCTTTTGTTTTATCCTAAAAATCACAGTAAACCAGCTGTTCTTTCGTATTGTACAAAAAAAAAGAATTCTTTCATCCTTAACTAGTAGTTTAAGCTATTCGTAATAATTAATAAATGGATAGGAATGCATTAGTACCAACATTGCTGATGAACCCGAATTACTGGTACTAGTACATTTCTACAAAAGAACACTTCGAACATATTTAAATGCACTCAATAATCGATAATTTCATTAAGCTCTATGAGCGATATTCCTAGGAAGTTAAGATATGGTACTGACAATAGATTGCCAGTCAGAGACCAACTATCGGTATATCGATTACCACCAGTTGAGATCACATGGGTTAGCGACGTGTTTCAATATTTGGATGTTGTTACTAAACATAGACGAGACAAAACTCATCCGAATCCGATCGAAACAAGGTCAGTCTGTTCATTTCGGTCTATTAGGCACGAATGATCCGAGAATGTTCATGGCAGCTGAAAATTTACGATCCATGATATTTATCAAGTTGGAGAGTGTTTTATTTGTGAACACTGAAGTGCCATGTAGACTCATGCAGTTTCGCAATGTTCTTTAATATAAAAACTATTGTCACCGTAGCGATGGAGTTCTTTGGAATGATCTTTCCTGCGCCATCGAAAAGCATAACATTTCTTGAAAAATATGCTTTAAAAATCCTATTGAATTCGCTCTGTCTATGTATTTAACTTAAATATCAATCTCGAATCTAATATCCAATGATAAATTTCTGTATTTTCTTTTACCTGTATTTTTTGTTTAATTCTTGAAACAGCATCTGGTTCATGATTTGAAGTCATATCAAATGATCGAAGTAATTCACTGATTGTTGTATCTCATGTATTAAATAAATCTCTTTTATCATGAAAAACTTTTATTTCATGATTAAGTTCAGGTACAATAAGCATTGTTCTCCATGCTTTTTGTTTTTTTTTCATTTAATTACATCACCAAATATATGGTCACCAACATATACAGGCCTCGCAGCGTGTGTACTTTCCTGATTTTTTCCTGATTTTTTTAAAGTGTCCTGATTTTCCTGCTTTTGACTGAAAATCCTGATTTTGTCCTGATTTCTCAAGATTTATCTCTGTAGGACCACATATACGTCATTTTGATATTTTATTTTGCTATACTCAACGTTTCTTAAAAATTTTATGAAAATATTTGTTGAATATTTTCTATAAAAAGAAAGATGATACTCAAATTTTTATTTTATCCATTTTTTTTCTTGTACTCACTTTAAGAATCGATTATTTCGAATTAATTGGTTTTTGAAAGCAGCTATTTTATCATTAGTAATTATCACCAGCACTTCGCGGTAATTATATCATACAGTTCACGACCGTGCATAGCTGCATTAAATCTTCTATTCCCTTATTTTAACATTTTAGTCGATTTACTAAAGTTTTCTTGTAAACGCTTTTATTCGTTTATCTATAACATGGTGGTTTTATATGTGCGAAGAGCAGGGATATGAAGAAGAGGAAAAGTAGCAGAGAGGGAAAGGAAGTGTGGTGCAGGGAAATGGTTTGAGTGCCGAAAAGATGGTTATAGAGCCTTAAAAACTGCGAAAATGCGGATTTTTCTTATTTCTTTTCACGGCTATTTTCCTGATAAAAATGCGATTTTGACTAGAAACAAATAAGACTCCAATAGTAAAGGATCCTCCTTCCGTAGGCCACGTATCTGAGAAAAAGAAAACGTATACACAATGCATAATTAGAGATAGCGAACGAAAAGGAAAAAAAGCAGAACTCGAAGCACGTATTCGGCGAACTATATAGTAATTTCAATGGACTATCACTGATTGACATACTTTTGTGCAGCTTTCATCCTGAACAATAGTACTATGATAAGACTTAAAATGTCCTGATTTTAATCGAAATTCCTGATTTTTTTCTAAAATGTGTCCTGCCTATTTTCCTGATTTTCAGACATAGACCGCTGCGACCCCTGCATATAAAACATCTTTATCCATTGAATCAATTAATTTCGAAAAAACGTCACATGAACCTGAAATGAATTAATAAAATTAAAAAAATAGCAAACTCATTTCCATGAACTGTCTTTTTTACCTCCACTATAAATTTCATTTTGTTGTAATTGCCCAGAATAGGAACTCAATTTCATACTTCCCGTATTTGGATCAATTATTCTTCATGTTGTACCTGCAGCAAAAAATGATGATTTTTGAGCATCAACAACAATATAACTAAAATATGATTTCCAATCACGTTTTGGATTATTATTAACATTATCAATTGTTAATAAATATGCCATTAATTTATCAGTATACCAATATTCACTATTTGTTAGTAAAAATGTTTTTGCACCATGAGAATGAATACTACAAAAGATGTTTGTTATCCTTTTTGTTTTTTTTATTCAATTTATAAATAAATTTACCGACCTAATAATATTGGTAATTGTTCATCCTTGTGAACATATTTTTCAATATTTTCACAAACCATTTCTTTAAGTTTAGTCTTAAAAAAAAAAGATTTTTTTCTCAAATTAATTAAAAACAATCCTTACTGTATAATGAACACGGTCAACTGAATTTCGACCATCATTAGAAATTGCACGAAATGAAAGAATATTTTCTCCAAATTTAACACCTGTTCGATCTCTATCAAAAAATCAATCAAATAAATCTTCAAAAAATCCATTCATCTTACATACTCGACGTAAGTCGCCGCAGTAAAAAACTAGTCAATTAAACAAGCAATAAGATAAATTTCTAAATAGAAACAAATCTTTTTT